AATTTCAAAATATTTGAAAACTATTATTTCTTTTATATTTACATGCATGTATATGTATATATATATAGATCATATGTGATATATTGAATTTTTTTCCAGTTATTTTGAGATTATCACGTTGGGAACAGTCAGGCACAATTTCTAATTCTATTATTTTAATTTAAATAAAATTAGAAACATATTAAGGGGAGTTGGAGACAAGTTAAACGAAGGTGATTTTAAAAATCCATCTCTTATTTATTATGTTTCTTTTTCTTTATTTCTCGAAATGTTAAATTGGAAGCCAAGGAATTTTGCTTTTGCAAAATAAAAAATAAAAAATAAAAAAATAAACATATATTTTTAAATGTGTTCTTGGAAATTCTTGGTTAACCTTGTATTTAAAAAAGCACGTTATTTGATCTAACGATAGTCATTGACATTGCAATAAATTATTGGTTATTTACCATTATCAATAAAAATTCATTTACGCCGAATATCAAACGTCTGATCTCTAGTCTAATTATCAAATTTTGTTATCTTCAGCATATCTCGTACATTAACACTACGAGATTCCCAATGACAATTTTCTAAAGAATGCAGATAATGCATTTGTGCTTTTCATAGAACATTAATCATCTAATTACTTGACCTCGATAAAAATTAACTTGGGCTTTTTCGTTCCAAGAAAAAAAAGTATAAAAAAGACATAAAAATTACATGGAGAGGTTCGATAACTATCTGTCTATTCATAGACGATGGAATACTGCGTGTCAAGTAAACTGTTTAATTGGAAATACCACTATCTAACTATATATATATATAATATATCATTATAAAAATTTCGAACATCGTATCTGCCTCATTGGTACCTTAATGATAACGATAATCGGGATGTCTCATTGAAATCAACCCGCACACGAGTATCATAGATAATTTTTATTAAATAAAAACTAATTAAAAAAATTATTTATCATCTATTTATCATTTATATATATATATATATATATGTATATCATTTATTCACTATTACACAAATTGCAATCCTAACTTTTAAAATGTATTTGGAATATCATACCTAAAAAAAAAAAAAACACTGCTTATATAATACATACATTTATATCTGTATCGTATTTTTCCTTAAAAGAAAAATAATTATTTTCTGAACCGTCCCTTCCGATACACACATAGGTAAATAATTTTGCAACATCAAGCGGAAATATCTTGATGGAAGATAGGAAATTCCATTATGTTTATTTAAAACTTAATTTGTATCTTTATAATACGATTGTACACGTAACCATATTGAGAATGCACATTATCGTGAATAATCCGTGCTATTTATTTCTTTCGTAACAAATAAGGGAAGTCTAGTCAAGTATTTCCAATGTCTCGGATAAACTAAAAAAAAAGGATAGAGAGAAAAAAGAAAGAGAGAAAGAGAGAGAGAGAGAGAGAGAGAGAGAGAGAGAGAGAGA